GTATCTTCTGTCACCCCTCAGGTACAGAAGCTATTTGTATATGTATCTTCTGTCACCCCTCAGGTACAGAAGCTATTTGTATATGTATCTTCTGTCACCCCTCAGGTACAGAAGCTATTTGTATATGCATCTTCTGTCACCCCTGAGCTACAGAAACTATTTGTAAAGTTTTTAATGAACAACTTTGAAAATATATATAAAGACACAGAAAAAGTCATGAATAAACCCAAGAGCATTGAGGTCGGATACACATCACTCACACACAAACAACTAGTGGTCGTGTGCGACGATCCCTACACAGGTAAATGCCATATTGAGTAGTGCAGTTCAATCATCGACAAGTTTATGGCGTTTCATTACCCATTTGGCATGCACATTTTCAGAGTATCACATTTGGAATTTTTCTCGTTTCAGAATTTCTTCCTCAAATGACAAAATTCAAATGTTTTCTAGAGCACACAAAAAATAAGACACACACATACACACAACTACAGTTCACCTTTATTTTCATCTGTCCAATGACCAGTCGGTATGCATACGTAACATGTACTCAGTAGCTACTAGCATTTTTACCTGTACACATTTTGTAAAGTAAGGATGATAACTCTGCAGAGTAAACGTCGGTCTACCGCGACTACGTAAATTACCCCCGTGAGTATACTTTTGACCTTCAAATGGTGTAATTTTCACCCAGCGTAAATAACCACGTTTACAGTACATGTAAATCTGTTCAGGTGGGTAAGACACCGAGTTCATTAGTGTATTCTTCATGTCCAGCAATTTTGTAAATGGTTATGGCATAGGGGTCTCAACAAACGGTTCATGGTACTCTATGAAAGGTCAATGGTAAAACAAACAAATGTTGATGCTTTTAGGTCAGTGACAATAGAGAAATGTCGTAACTCAACCATCATCCTGGGACCAGTAGAGACAACCGTCTATCTAAGTCACTGTGAGAAAGTCACACTTATCGCTCCCTGTCACTTCCTCATGATAAGGTAGGTACTTGTCTCCAACACTATAATGATAAATCCCAGAGTTTATCTGTCTGTACATAATGACTCCTAGAGTCAAAGTTTATCTGTCTGTACATAATGACTCCTAGAATCAGAGTTTATCTGTCTGTACATGGTGACTCATAGAGTCAGAGTTTATCTGTCTGTACATGGTGACTCATAGAGTCAGAGTTTATCTGTCTGTACATGGTGACTCATAGAGTCAGAGTTTATCTGTCTGTACATGGTGACTCATAGAGTCCGAGTTTATCTGTCTGTAAATGGTGACTCATAGAGTCCGAGTTTATCTGTCTGTACATTTACATAGTGACTAATAGAGTCAGAGTTTATCTGTCTGTACATGGTGACTCATAGAGTCAGAGTTTATCTGTCTGTACATGGTGACTCATAGAGTCAGAGTTTATCTGTCTGTACATAGTGACTCATAGAGTCAGAGTTTGTCTGTACATAGCGACTCATAGAGTCAGAATTTATCTGTCTGTACATAGTGACTCCTAGAGTCAGAGTTTATCTGTCTGTCCATAGTGACTCATAGAGTCAGAGTTAATCTGTCTGTACAAAATGACACTTAGAGTCAGAGTTAATCTGTCTGTACATAGTGACTCATATAGTCAGAGTTTATCTGTCTGTACATGGTGACTCATAGAGTCAGAGTTTAACTGTCTGTACATCGTGACTCATAGAGTCAGAGTTTGTCTGTACATAGCGACTCATAGAGTCAGAGTTTATCTGTCTGTACATAGTGACTCCTAGAGTCAGAGTTTATCTGTCTGTACAT